GTTTATTTTAAAACTACAGTTTTACAATAAACTACAGTTTATTTATATTAACTAATAGTTTACAGATCGCACCTCTACTTACCAGTTTTTATAGATAGTGCTCCGAACAGATTAGCCAAAATAGAATTTTAATAATCACAACATTTCATTAAAAATTTTCGCCCATATATACCAAATTAATTTTCATACTTGCCGAAATTACTACTGAAATTTTCGAACTCTTTTATCAAAATACATTATATAATGTGAAAAATCCCAAAAATGCCTGCTGAAAATACTTTTAGAAATAATTTAGACACACATTATAAAGCTAAAAACAATACAATACAAACTCGTAAATGATAATAAAATAGATTCATATATATGAAAATGTATGCATACTATTGTTTACGAGTTTGGCTCTATTATTATTCAATATGGCTAACTTTTTTGTTCATTTAGCAGAATAAACCCCAAATTAGAATTATATATACAATAGTTATTCTTTTAATAAAAAGAAAGGTTATCCAAAAGAATAACAATTGTATGTATAATTCAAACATCTCTGCATTATATTCTTTATTATATATATTAAAAAATGAGTTAATTAAGTATTAAAAAACAAAGTCATAGTATATAACAAATAATGCAATAAAATGTATATATAAATAAAAAATATATCATAAAAATTAAATATCTTACTGCTTAAATAATATATCAATATGCAACTTTTATTAGTTCAGTTCTTATAATACCGATACTGTAGCTTTGTTCAGTAAAGATGAACTAAATAAATTAAATAAACTAAATGAATTAAATGAAGTAAATGAACTAAATGAATCAAACAAATTAAATGAATCAAACAAATTAAATATATCAAATATATTAGAAAATACATATGACCTAGACAGCGAATTGAATTTGAGTTCTTCAGAACAAACTCCATCAAATAATAGCAGTGTTATTGTTACTAATAGTTTGGGCAAAAGAATTAGAAAAAAAAAAGTTAACTATTCCAAAAGACCAAAATTAAGAGAACAGAGAACCAAGTTGGGTATGGCATTATTTTAAGCAAGACAAAGTTGCAAAAAAATATATATTGCAAAGTTGAAATCACAGATGAAGATAGTATAAAAAAAGCCTGTGCTTACAAATATGAATCAATAACTGGAAAAGGCAATTTAAAGTCGCACCTTCATCAACTTCACAGAATTTTGCCCCCTGAAGAAAATAATAATAACAATTAATTAGCTAATACAGTTTCTAATCAAACATCAATACAAAATTTTATAAATAAAAAAACACTATTATCTATTTCAAAACAAGATAAAATTACAAATCGTATTTTAGCCTGGATCGTAGATAATCTTCAGCCATTTAACACTATTACTAATAATTGTTTTCATGATATGATTCTTGAATGTGAACCGAGATTTGAGTTTTCTTGCTATGATAAAATAAAAGAAAAATTAATACAATCAGTACTTTTCGCCGAATGACAGCTTAAAGAATTATTGCAAACAATGATAGATTCTTTTTGCTTTACAACAGACCTGTGGTCTCAAATACACCAACCTTATATAGCCGTAACTATTTATTGGATCAGCCCCAACTTTACTTTATACCAAGCACTTCTTACAATTCAAAAATTCAATTACCTTCATACTAGTAATTGAATTGAAGATTTTTGTTGCTAGCTATTTAACCAATAGGAAATATATGAAAAGCTTTTAAATGCTTCAACAGATAATACCTCTTTGATGATTAAGACTATAGATTAACTTGGTATTAAACATATAGGTAAGGCCAAATTACAAATTTAATTGTTACAGCTAAAATCGGAAATATAAAAATTTTAAGAGTTTTAGTTAGTTAATTTCTATATAAGAAGGTTCTGGCAGAGTTTATATTTTTAAATTAAGGGCCTTAACTTTCAACTTGGTTTTAGCTATGATTTTAATTCTTATATTTTATATAATTTTATATAAATTATAAAAGGTTTGTCAGTATTATTATTACTGTTATTAGTAGTATTTAAACTTCTATGTTAAATATCTAGTACCTTAAATTTTCATAGTAGCAAAAATACCAAATTGACCATTATTAACTCTTGAATCAATAGTATAATATTAAAGAGTTAAATATTAATACTTAATAAATAAACCAAAATCGTAATTATTTTAATTTTCACCTAGGTTGTACTGCACATATGATACAACTTGCATTAGGTGACAGATTTGATATTGAAGAAGTCAATAATTTAATTAATAAAGCGAAAACATTAAATAGTTATATCAATAGTAAAGATAAGTACCGTGAAAAACTCCATCAATTGCAAGCTAAATTAAATCCACAGCATCAAGTTAATCCTCTTTCAAGTAACACTAGAACTTGGTGGAGTTCAACATACAAATTTTTTAAAGAATCTTTTTCTTCTTTGTAATGCTATTATGAGATTAGCTAATAACTTAAAACAGAGTATTAATTATCAAAAACGACAGGATGGAACAAAACTTTTTAAGCTTCTTTTGTCAATAAAAGAATGAAATTTAATAGATAAATTAGCAAAACTCTTATGTCCTTTTGCACAAGCGACAGGATATATTGAAGAAAGCCAATATTCCACATTAGGAATGATGATTTCTACTCTTATTAAGCTCTCTTGCCATTTAAGAGATTTTTACTCAAGAACTACTTCTCAAGTAATAAAGGCTTGTTGTGGTGAAATTAATCAATCGATGCTGTCAAGGTGGTTTGAACCATCATCTCATGGTCTAATAGCTGCCTTCTTAGATCTGAGGTTCAAAAAAATAAATTACATAATGCCTAGTAAAAAGAGAGAAACTATTGCTCACCTTTATATATTATTTAATACACAAAAATAACCAAGTTCTATTCAAGAACCCCAAACTTCAATTACTAGTTTCTCTTTTTTTTTTTTCTTCTTTTTATGATAACGATTATGTTGCTCCAAATGAAACCAAAAATATATCATCAGTTGAGAAAGAAGTAGCACTTTATAATAATTTATCTGAAATTTCTAAATATCATATAACAGATAAAGAATATAATAAAGTTAATCTATTAATCTGGTAGAATGAATATAAAGCAATGTTTCTCCTTCTTTCGCAACAAGCAAGAAAATATTTGGCTTTTCCAGCCATGTCAGTTCCTTCGGAAAGGGTCTTGGCAATACAGTAACTGATAAAAGAAATCAATTAGACTCTGACATGGTTCATGATTTACTATTTCTTAAAGAAAACTCAAAAATCTTTATCATGTATTCGGGTTTAATTTAATTTTGGAAATTATATATACATTATTAATAGGTAGGTAATAAAATATTTAATCAATATTAGCGTATGAATAGTGAGGAAACCTATAGGGTTAGAGGGCTAATGGAGGTAGTTAGAACCAAATGGTTTAAATGGGTACCCCCCTAGTTGGGGTGCAGGTACGACAAATAGTGTAGAACCTTCGAGCGGACTACTTAAATAAGCACTCAAAAGGTGTACATGTGGCTTGATATACTATCGTTGTAATTATATATAAAACTTCGTCTATACTCTAATAAAAAGTTCTCCAGACCAAAGAGGTCACCTTAATACC